AAGATTCCCAAAGATTTCCAAAGATTTCCAAAGATTTTCAGAGATTTCTAAAGATTTCCAAAGATTTCCAAAGATTTCTAAAGATTTCTAAAGATTTCAAAAGACTCCAATTAAAGAAAATCTGCGTGCTCTAATAGATCTCTGCTTGAGAACTTGTTCAGTCTCATTTTGTACGTGTTCCTATATGACTTAATCCTTCCACTTCAGAGAGAGTCTTATAAGATAGAATGAATTTGTGACTATGTTTTCATGTTTCCATCCAACTATCTAGTCATATAGTTGCATGTAGTGGTATAATCTTAACGTTTCAATGAAGACAATCGAAGGCGACAAATTTAAATCTATAATCGGCTTCTAGAAAATTCGAACTTGATATTTTTCATTCAGGAAACACTTTCTACAATAATAACCGTTCTTTTGTAAAGTTTCAAAAAAGATAGTCTGGCTTGAGGAATCCAAATCCTTAATTAGCTTCTAATTATTCGTGGCCTTGATTTCTCTTTGATAAAACTCATTATCTCTCTGAAATACCGTTAGCCTACTGAGAAATCAAAGATATGAATGCTGTGAAACTTATTACAGACTAAAATTGTTCGACCATGCTTGCGTTTCATCAAACTTTATAAAAAAAACCATTGTTTTCTTAAAACAGCTTTTTTGGATGAAAAAAAGCGAAATTAAATGGCATTCGCCTCAAATGTATCACTTTTTTACTTAATTTCAACTGAATAAAGTATTAGGTAGGAAGATGTTAAACTTGACATTTAATTTTAAGCTTTATATGAATATTCAATGCAAATAGTGTTCGTTATCATGATTCACTTGACCGTTCACTAAACATGACTTAATCTTCGCCTCTTATCACCTGCTAGAACTCTCTTTTGAGAATTGCTGCTCAAGAACACGTGCTCATGTAAAGAGAAATGTTTATTTTATTGTCAGAAATGACCATTTTATAAAGAGGCCGTACCTTTCTATTTTCTGTTGACATTTACTAAAAGAAACCTTGACGGACAGCACGCATCTACTGTTCGTCGACATCCCTAGACATCGCCAACCTCGACTTCTTAATTTGCTGTATGATCCGGATTTAATTTAAAGTGCTTTATTTTCTCGTTCAACACATTTTTAGTAGTACGAAGAAATCAATCACAATACATTTCTTATTCTCATATTGACAGTGAAATGCATATAATAAATAGAATAAGAAGATTACGAAGTTTAACACAGTAGGATCGAGGTTTTAATTGGTATAATGGAAATATAACTCACAAATATGCGATATTGGCTCCTATAAGCTCTATTCTGGCAGTTATTTTTGATAGCCCATTCATGGAAATCGGAAAATTGTTGCATAAGATCTTTTTCTTTCGACACTTGGAGCATCGCGAAATTCTTGTTCTTCAGTTTCTCTGAAACAATGAAGGACATAATTTTCTTTAATAGATATGACCTATCCGCATTAATGTTATCGTAAGCAGTAGAGACCTAATTATGTTCTTGGTTCTGCACTTCAGATCGAGATTCATTAAATAGTTTATATAAAAACAAAACTTATTTTATAAACCTGGTGACTTTTTTCTGAACAAGATAAGAATGTTGTTCCATTTTAACAAAAAAATGTTGCTCTAAGTCTCATCATAGGTATCTGATCGATAATATTGTTGTTTGCTGCACACAGCAACTCCCATTTTCACGTAAGGTCTTCTTTTATCTAACATGAGAGATTACGCTTCTTCAGGTCAGCTGTCATGTTTATTCTAAGTTTCACTCTCTATTGCTGCACCTTTCTTTCGTATAGAAACTTACATTACCATATAACAAAAACCAATTCGTTAAATTCTGACAAAAATATTTTCTTTATTTCGAATACAAATTCTGACATCCTTACTAAAATTCCATTCAAAGATGTAACATATCCATTTCCACAGGCATTTTTCATACACAATAGGAAGGTATAAAACTTGAACAAAAATCTTTATTCCTAATCAACCGATATAGGTAATAAAGAGGAAAAGTGATCGAGATAGTTTGGACTAGTATTTCACACAACTTTTGAAAACACACCAGATGTTGAATAGTTCAAATGTGAGCTGATCTCCTTCGTGACCTTTGTGAAAGATTGTGTGTATTGAAAGACTTTGATTTCACCTGCATGCAAGCAAATAAGTAGTAATACTGCTCTTCTTAGCACCTCTAAAATATAATACATTTCTTTAAAACTTCAAAATTTTGAATTCATTTATTATTCTGTACAAAAGGATCATAGAGTAACATGGTAATCTTAGTCGTTTCATATTATTAGGATTGAGCTTAAGCTTACGCTTCAATCTCATCACGAGTAAGTCCAACGATGATAGTTCCTCTTCACAAATGCTCACTTTTATTCAGAGCCATAAATATTTCTTGACCCTGTTGATTAAAGCTTGAGTATGACTATGTCATTAAAATTAAAACTGCGTTGAGAATTCTACAAAGTCCATATTCTACTGAGACTGCTTCTGAACGGAAGCATATGCAACATCTCAGAACGATTTTAAATTTTGTACTAATCATTTCTAAAACTAAACCTAATAGCAATCTGTTTGAGAAAATATACATGCTGATGGAGATGGATATTTTATTGATTTACTACTTCAAAAATATTTCTTTTAGCTCTTTTTTTCATGAAAGATAAAGATTTTGAAGTGTTTTAATCCTTATAAAAAAAGATGAACCTCAATTGATGCCTCTTTTACTCGCCGTTTCAGAGAATTTCAGTAAAATTAAGTATATATCAGACAAGACTTTAGCCAACTAGGCTAAGTACCCAATAGTGAATCGAAAGCTAAAGCCTATGATTTTCGGAGTCTAAATAACATCTCACTATTAGATTTATACTATATGGACTACCATTTACTAAATGACAGATGAGTAGTTCAGCTGTTGATAACAGTGTTGTACTGTTGTACATGTTACGATTTTCACTCGAAGAAAAAAGTTATTTCTCTATACTTTTGAAGCTTTGATGCAAACCTCAACCATAGAGAAAGAATTCACCATTTAGATTGTAAGAATGGAAAGAAAGCTCATATGACTTTTAGTTCTTCCTTTTGTCAAAGTTTTATTTTTATACAAAAGCGGTACTATCAAGATGATATGATTTCTGCATGCAAGTTATCCATCATTTGCTTGTCGTATTAATCACCTTTTGTCCTTGATTCATAAGACACAGATCTTTCTTTATTTTCATGGGCATTGCTTTAATAAAAATTCACTAACAATGGACGTGTTTATGTTAGCAAGTAGTATAGTTAAACACATTCGCATCAAATTCAAAGCTCTCACCGCCAAAGTAACACATTTAAAATATAGACTGTTTTTGGTATGCACCAACCAAGATGTTCAAGTTTTTAGGTGTTTACAATGTTTGTAGGATGGCCAAAACTCAAAATTTCAGCAGAATCCTTTATTCTGTTTTCTTAATGGCTGAATGAAACTTTTCGAATTACATCATAAAATATTAATTTCACATTTTTGAAAAAGACTTAAAAAAATATATCAAAGTGAGAATTTTGGATCTTTTTTCCTTATATATGGAATTGATGCCAACATGGATTTTTTTTCTAAGATCTTTTACAATCTCTTTTTTAAATATGGAACATATGTATATTTATAATGTATCTCGACCATCTTTATCCCACTATCAAGAAAGCAATGAAAAAATCTGCTGAAAGTTTGAGCTTGGAACATGCTACATACACTGTTAACACCTTAAAACTATAATGTCGCGGTTGATACATACCAACAGCAGCTCATATTTTAAATTTGTAAGCTTGGTAGTAAGAGCTTCACTTTGACCTCAATATATCCAATCTCCTTAACTGACAACACAAGCGTCGTCGCTGGAAGGGATGTTTTATGTCAAACGCACTTTTTAAATTGTTTCACAGAGTTCGTAAGGAAAAATAAAATTTTAGAGTTTCGCAAATCGAACGCAATCCGTAGACAATCTTTTTTACAGAACAGAATCTTGTGAAGCGTTTGTTCGTTGGAACTTTCACATTCATGGTCAGCTATTCGACAGCATGTCTTTGAAACACCACTCACGGCTAGTCGCTCACGTGCTTAAGTTTAATTTCCCAAAAGATGATTTATAGTCTACGATTCAGTCGATCTAGATTTAGCTAATTGCGATGAACCATTCAATTTCCAGCAGAAGTATTCCCGATAAGAAATTTCAAACAAAACATTTTGTTATACAGAATAATTTGTCTTAAATTTTATCATCTTTCTGATAAATCTGCCATGTATTGCAATTCAACGTTTACCGAATCTTATTCGAGCATTCTCAACAAGCATGCTAGATGTTTTACAGCTATTATCTAAAGCAAATATTCACTTAACCATTAATATCAGTGGTCACTCGTTCGTCAGTATCTCTTAGAGTTGACATTCACGGCTGGTCACCTCCTTTGTAAAATTTATCTACTGAACAAATTACCCTCTGGTTTGTACAATCTGTTCAAGTAACATTGTGCTTCTCTCCATAATATTTGTAGCTTATAAGTAACAGAATCCTCGAATGAAAATTGAAAATACTTGTGCTATAATGGAATTTGTCAGAGATACAATACACTGCATCGAGATTCCCCTGAATAATACCGAAAGTAAAAATATCGAATCATAGAAATGTCGAAAATAAAAATATCGAATCATAGAAATATCGAAAATAAAAATATCGAAATATAAAAATGTCGAAAGAAGAATTCCTAGTTTTTGAGATTACGTATATCAGACATCTGACGAAAATATGTATTAAACACATAAAGGGAGATGGCAGTAGTGGTCGATAGGTCTCATGAGATACACTTGTAACTAGTGTAAATGGTCGAACACGTTACTGGTCAATAGAATGGATAATGTTTTAGTCTACATACAACGAAACAAACAAACAAAGGCATTATCTTTGTATAAACGCACTTGAATATATCATCAACAGCCAAAATTAATAGTAATATATGATGAATGCAACACCAGAGTCATCCGGTAAAGAAAATATTAATATATCTTTTATAACATCAAATAAAGGTCAATTGTTACTCTTATTGAACAACTATTTATACCAATGCAATAAAAAGACAATTAAAAAAAAGTATTGGCAATGTATTAGTAAAGGATGTACAGTGTATCTTCATACAGATACAAATAATATATATTTGGGTGGTGATGTACCTGAACATGATCATGAACCCAATCCCGAATTAGTCGAAGTTAGACAGGTTCGGCAGAAGATAAAAGAACGTGCTCTTAAAGAAATAATACCAATTTCAATGATTTATGAACAAGAAACTTCGCACACCTCTATTAGTTCAACAACTTTGGCTATCTTACCAACAAGCCAAGAGATTTGTATGTGTCACACAAATTAATATTCAGCTAAATTTTGTTTTGTTTTAGATCCATCCGTTGCCAAAGCTCGACAAAAAGTAGTCCCGTTATTACCAAATTGTTGTTTATTCGATATTCCAGATGATTATACAAAAACCATTGATGGAAATCGATTTTTGTTAACTGATGAAGTGCTTGCGCGACGTGAACGTCTGTTGATGTTTTCTAGTGATCATCAACTTGATTTATTATTTCAATCTCGCATCGTTTACATGGATGGAACGTTTGCTAAAAGTCCACCACATTTTCTTCAAGTATATATTATCCATGCGATTATTTTTGACATATGTAAGTGAGATTATTGCCATTAAAAAAACCTACTGTATGTATTTAAGGTGTACCATGTGTTTTCTGTTTGCTAGTAAATAAGAAAGCTATTACGTATAGACATATTTTTCTTGAACTTAAAGACAAAGCAAAGGAACGTGGTAAAGTTTTCGCACCCGTAACAATCATGAGTGATTTTGAATCCGGTGTTTTACCAGTTTTAAAATCAGAGGTGAGTTGTACACTTAATCAGCAAATATTACGTAAATTTGCACTTCATAATTTTTAGTTTCCTTCATCAAAGCACTATGGATGTTTCTTCCATTTCTGTCAAGCAATTTATCGGCACATACAACATTTGGGAAAACAACAACATTATTCAACTAATGAATCTTTTAGATTATTATGTCGAAAACTTATGGCATTAGCATTAATGCCACGTGAGCAAGTAGTTAATGGTTTTAATGAAATTCAAACTGATGCTGATCAGTTACCTGATTATCCTATGGAAGAATTATTATTGTATTTTCAAAGAAACTGGTTAGATAATATTGATTTATGGAATGTCTCTACATGTAATGCAAGAACAAATAACGTGTGCGAAGGTAGGATGATTAATACAGTTTTAAATGTATCTTTTGCTTTTCAAAGGTTATCATAATAGAATGAACAGTCGTATATACAAGAATCATCCCAATATCTGGACTTTTATCAAGTTTATGCAAAATGAAGAGCGAAGGGTCCATTGTATTACGATTCAATGGGCGGCCGGCGCGGCAAGAAAAAAAGATGTCCGTACAACTGTTATTCAACATCGCATCAATACACTTTTCAATCGATATGATAACAATCTTATCAATTCATCTGATCTTCTCACCGGTTTATCGTACGTTGTTGCAAAAAAAATCTAAAAAAAAAACTCATTCATTTAATACTAACTGATTTATTTATGCTTTGTTCGAAGATTTTCATTTTTATCTAAAATATAATTTTAATGCTTGAAATACTAAAATAAATTCTTAACCAAGAATAACTACAATATCTTTTCTTTTGCTAGTTTCATACATTTTTCGACATTTTTATTTGTCGATATTTTTATTTTCAACATTTTTAATTTTCGATATTTTTATTGTTCGATATTTTTACTTTCGACATATTTATTTTCGATATTTTAACTTTCGACATTTTGCTTTCGATATTTTTACTTTCGATATTTTTACTTTCGATCAAATTCAGGTTTACCTGCATCGACGCCTATAAAATATCAATTTAGGCAAAAGATTGATTGGTCAAAGTCAACATAGTAAAGAGCGGACACGAACAGGATACAAATAAACTTTCGTGCTTGACTCTATTCCAAATATGAAAACTCGGATTGGATCAAAGTTGTTCTTGAAAAAAATATGTGATTAGTTAAAAATTTTGTCTTAGAAAACTCATAAGAAAAAACCTAGATAAAGAAAACAGCTTAAAGAGTGAAATTGAGGTCGGAGAGAAGGTTCGGTTGATAGATGAGTGTCGAAAACGTCGGAGTCAAAGAGAACACGAAGGCTTGAAGATTGACTGGACCAATAGCTACTATAGAGGAGAATATATCATCGAATCCACTGCAGAAAAAATGGAGCTTAATGAAGAAAAAAAAACTGGAGATGAACATGGTTGGTAGACACGATACCTCAAAGCATACATAGCCATGTTACATAGTTAATCTGATATTTCGAGTATATACGCAAATACGTCACTGTAGAAAAATGTACATACATGCATAAAACCTAACTTATTTGGTTTTTCCTTTTGCCGCTCCTCTAAGTAACGGGAATATACTATTTAAAAGATATTCGATGGCATAAATATTTTGGAAGCGATTTACACAGATTTTAAGTATGCATCTTCCAATACCAATTGCTCTCAACCCACAATGGTATTGACGTCCATTGATATTAATGATATAGTTATTGTTACCTCCTTGATTTTTTTTCGAAAAAGAAAGGGTTTTTCATAAAAATCACGACTTGTTATGAACTTTGATTATAAGTAATGGAGATTGAAGAATTTGAATCTGCCATTAGTTTCTTAGAGTTCTGTACTTGAAGTTTCGACTAAAGGAGGAGATTATTGAAAAAGTTATGGTCTATATTAAGTTTGACCATTTGTAGACGAAACTAGTTTATTTGACCAAACAATCAAGTTGGAATTTTCCAAAACTAACAGCATATTGAAACTACGTGCATCCGAAAAACTTTCATAAATCTTTATAAAAAAACAAAATTCTTCTTTGCTGAAAAGGTCCTTTCTTTAATGGACAAAATTAGGGACGTAACGGTACCAGTACAAAAATATGAAAGCCGGTCAATACCAATTCCACTCAATCCTGATAATTCACTAAGGTATTGTTGTTGGAACATGCCTCATTTAAGGTTCCAAAGGATTCTTAAAGATTTTTAGAGATTTCTAAAGATTTCTAGAGATTTCCAAAGATTTCCAAAGATTTCTAGAGATTTCTAAAGATTTCTAGAGATTTCTAAAGATTTCTAGAGATTTCAAGAGATTTTAGGTGTCAAAATCTGCTTTTTCCCCCTTGGGGTGTGGGGTGTGTGTGTGTTGGTGTGGCTGTGGGTGTGGGTGTGGGTGTGGGTGTAGGTGTTGGGTGTGGGTACCCATTGAATCACGATACACCCACAGCCACATCCACACACCCACACCCACACTCACACACCCACACCCCACACCTACACCCACACCCACACCCACACCCACACCCACACCCACTCCCACACCCACACCCACACCCACATCCACCCACACCCACACCCAGCCACACCCTGTTTCCGATTGATTTCATTAGAACTAACAAATGTGACACTTATTCGGATTCGTCATCGTACAATACAAATTCTCTCGATTTCGAAAAAATTCAGCACCTCCTATCACATCAAAAGGAAGTCTATCAAATAAAAAATGAATGTCAACCTGTTGCTAAATGATGATAGAAATTTT